TATATATATATAAGTATCAAATTAACAACAAAAAAAAACATTACATATAGTCAAATTAACTTATAAACTGTTTATAAAAGATACATATCATACACTTATTGTTTTTATTGGTGGAGATAAATATCTTATAATAATGAGTATCAATGAAAATTTTAAAGTAATCGAATCAAAGCTAACCCAATCTATTTTAATATTTTCTTTTCTTTTTTAAAATAAATAAATAAAGATATGAATGTATAATTGTACGGAATAATTAAGATTGTCTTACAAGAATAGCAAACTAAACCGATAAAAATTATATGTACAAAAGTTGTTACACAAAGTTTAACCATACATGATATTAGTGATATTTTGAACCGAAAAAAGTAGTATCAAATTTTTTGAATAAGCGTAGACCACACAGTCCGGTCAACCAGGGAATGGATGCATCTCTCTGCATCTTTCATATCCTGGGATAGAAGGTCAAAGATGTTTATCAATTTCTAGTAGTTATGATCTTCCTCCTGAATTTGACGTTATGGTACCGGTATAGATCGGAATTTCTTTATGATCTTAATATGATCGATAATAAAAAAATATTTTTTGGGTTATGAAAAGAATTCTTCAATTTACAATTTTATCTATTCTATATCTTGGGTCGATTCAAAGCCATAATTGCTCAAATAAATAACTAAAAAGTTAGACAAATAGGAGAAAGAAAAATAAAAGAGAAATAAAATTTATAGAAATATCATAAAATCTACTTATCTCTAAGGTTCAACAATTATTTAACTGTTGGTGGGTCTTTTTGTATGTGTCGTCCGGAAAGATGATTCAATGGTTAATTTTGGTAGATAAGGATTCCGTTAAAACCAAGACAATAACAATTTTGTTCGTAATTATAACTTCATGTTGGAGGGGAAAAAAATTATAACTTCATATTGTGCTACTTTGATTCCAAGTTCATTATTATACTATATATTTCAGGTTGTATAACTTTTTTTTAATGAGATAATTAAAGGGCAGTCGGTGCATAAAACATCTCGTATTCATATAGGATCTAGAAAACGATCGCATCCCAAGGAGGTGTGACATCGACAACCTACCATGATGTAAGGATCAATAACGAATCCAAGTGTATCACTATGGGTGCACCCACCAACTTTAGTCGAAACTCAAATAACTATGTAGAAATTCCTTACAGATGTAACATAAGAATACATGAGCACCCATCGAGAAAAACGAGCGCTGGGTGCTTTGGTCCTGCAGGCACTTCTATTTTTCGAGGGCAAGGGTTTGATTCCAATTGTGGGCAACATCACTAGTTTCATATACTACTTTTTAGTCCACGTGATCTGACAAGCGGTTCATAATGTTTAATATTTTCCAATTTTATTACTGCACTCCCATCTAAAAGCACAATTTTTTTTTTTAAATTTCCTTTTTTTTTAGCCTATAGATTTTAGTACCATCTTCTACGTTAGAGTTTTTTTTCCTGTTCTACCGCCCCATTCATCTCAATTCTCATTCCTTGCTCTCTATTTATCTCTTCTACTTTCACACAGCTTAGGTTGAATTTGGCCAAATAAGATTTAGCTAGTGTTTGGATATATATTTAGTTACAACTTGAAAAAAAAGAGATTTTGAAGTTGTGTTGAATAATAAATTCTACAAGTTGAAGTTGTAATTGAACGTGCATTTTATTTGAAATAAAATTGAAGTTTTGTGAGTGGAAGAATCTTTTTACCAAAAACTGCTCTAAACCATATTTTGGGATTTGTTTTTTCAAAAACTGATCATATTCCACGAACAAATAATATTTTCAAATTCTTTTTAAAGAAAGTTGTCAAAATCTATGGCCAAACGGGAGCTTATTCTTGTCTCCTTTTTTCGCTCCTTAACAAGTTTAGTTTATGCATGAATAAGAAAATTAATTAGACCAAGTTAATCCAATATATGCCCCGACTATGATTTTGTGATTAGTGTTACATTTATACTAAGGTAGTTGAGCACCCATTAACTTCAAATTCCGGATCCGTCACTATCCATGCCTCGAACTCGTGACCTATAGGTCACACAGAGACAACTTAACAGTTAGGGATGTAAATAGGGCAGGGCAGGGCGGGGCAGGGCAAGCCTTGACCTGCTAAAATTTTGACCCGCCCAGCCCAGCCCCATTTAGCCTTTTGTCAAAATTTTGCCCTGCCCTGCCCTGTCCTGCCCCGCCGTGCCCCATTTAGGCTCTATTTTATTTTTCTCTTTATTTTTTATTTTACAATATGCTTTTTAATTTCTTTTACCCTTTCCACTTTATATTGAAATATTTAAAATATTATTTAGTTGTTTATGCAAATTGATTGAATAAAAATATAATTTTTTAACATTATTAAAATGTTAGACATGATTTGGACCATAGCAAGTTCTGTGAGGTAACATTATTCTGTACTTGCCACTTATTGACTTACAAAGAAGAAGAAAAAATTGAATAAGATTTGGACCCTACGGAGATCTTGAACAGAGCTTCATCTTTGTCGTAATTCTCTTATATAGCCTACGTAATATATTATTTTTGGCCTTTTATTACGCAAATGTATGATTTTGGCCGCTTTTGTAACATCCACATTTAGAAAAAGAAAGACAAGATTGGAAACTAAAATGGCAAAGTCAATCATATGATACAGAAAAATTTGGACAACATAAAGTTTTCCTAGCACAAAGCAAGAAGCTAGTTACTTATGTTTTGATCAATTCAAAATTTTCATTTCTCACAGACACAACAAACATAGGGATACAAATGGAAAGCTTGAGAATATTACTGCCAAATTTATCAATTTAAAGGAATAAGAATGTATTTTAGTTCAACCATATTAAAAGCTTGGCTCCTTTTAAGTCAACTTGTGAATGGTTTTCATATTAGCAACTCTCTGGAGAGTCCCCTTCTCAACATGGTCCCACCACTTGAACAAAATATTGTCGACGACAAGTCTGAATAGAAGATAATCAACAATGACATATTTGATATCAGCAACTTCATCTGGGTTCGGGTTCATATTGACATCACGGATAATGAATAGAAGATAATCAACTGCAATAAAAAAGAAGGATCAGCCACGAGTTATACATATTCTACCCAATACAACCTATATTCTAGCCGGTCTGTGAGATAAAAAGCAACAACAAATATATATAGAAAGCAATAATGTTAGTGATTATAGTACTAAGCACAACAACCAGCAGCAACAACAACAGTTCTACAGTGGCGATAACTTTTCAGTAACAACCAGCAGCATCAGTACTACAACAGTGGTAATACTTACAACGATAACAATAACAACAACAACAATAATAACAATGAGGAGTACTACAATAGTGATAACACTTATTACAACAACATAGGCAAGTAATGAGAAAAATGATCAGATAGCAGATCTACTACGTATGTGGTACATAATTCTAGCTTCAATCCATGAACAAACACAAGGAAAAATGATTCTATTAGAAATGAAATCCAAAGCCTACAAGACAAGAAAAAGGTAGTATAAAATTGTCAAATGCTAATATGACTCAGGGCACTTAATTAAATTGTAAAATAAGACAACAAGAGAGACCTAATCAGACAACTAATAGACATATACAAAGTTAAGAAGCATATTTTAACTCAATAATATAATTAAACATAGTAAGATTCCCTCCTCTCTATTTTATATTACTTCTGTTGCATAGCTAACAATTTTTTTTTTTGACTTAAAACATCATCGGTAGTATTATTGCTGTATTTATACCTCACTCCTCACAGTCTTCATATTCACAACTCTATTTGGACTTTGCCTGCATCAACAAATAGGAAAAAGGTTAGCGAAGCCAACGTGGTGTAGGTACTACATTCTTGAAAGTGTCTAAGAACAAAGACTGCTAGTTAAAAGGATTGATTAAGTAGTCTCTTAGTTTGTACACCAATATTGAATGATTCACTAATTAAAGGAGAAGGAAGAACTACATACTCCATGTTCCTAAATCCCACATGATCAATTATAGAGAGTGGATACTCGTGTGAAATTATGGCATGTGCAAGTTGTTTACGTGAAATATCTTGATCAAAATAACCATCTCCAGTATCACCCTCATTTTGTACATCTCTTGGCCTATTAGGACACTTAGGTATGTGATCTAACATAGATTTTGTACCACAATTTTTAGTATTTTTATATCGGCGATTGCAATACTTACAAACACCATATGGAACACCATTAAATTTCACCGGCTCGAAATGATTCCATGCTCGGGAATATTTTCTTTTTCCCATTTCAACAATTTCATCAGATTGTAAAGGCCTTTGACTCTCATCGTCTAAGGAAATAACATTAGAAGATGAAGCTGGCAGATTCTCTTCATTTTGAGATGCCATGATTATCTAGTAAAACAAAGAAAAAAAATATCACTAAAAGCTGATATTTAGAAATACAATTACAGGAGAAGTAGATCGTAGGGACTGTAACTATCCGTAAATTTATCGTTCAAAATATTTCCTTTCCCCTGATTTTTATCGTTCAAATTGACTGAAGAATCCACCAAAGTGAGTGTTCAGAATCACTGATCTTGTTGAACAGTGAAATTAAAGGTTGGGGATT